ACAATTTTTTTAGAGTGTATTTAAAGTCTTTTCAGTAAAATTCATAAAAGTCTCCTTAAATAAATCAAATTTAGTTTTTTTAACTGCATTGAAATCTTCTTTCTTTTTAAATTAACAAATGAAAATATGTGATATGAAAGAGATTACTACAGAAAGAGTATACTTTACTTTATATATATCGCCGTTTAAAGTACAAAACCGCGTATCGTCATTCTGCAAAACGTAACTGACATTTGCTGCCAAAATATGGATTTGCTCACACAAGCTCTCGGCTCAATCCTTATCCATTCGTCCTGAAATATACTATCCCGAAATACGATTGCTTTATAAAAAAGAGAATCATTTTGAAATATGAGTGTTTTTACTCTCTAGAAAATAATTTATGCAACCTCACATACGCGGTTTTGCATTATCTTGTTACGCGGTTTTACATTTTGTTGCTACGCGGTTTTGTACTTTAAACGACGATATGTATATAAGTCCAAAAAACAAGGAAAACAAATTTTTATTATTTTTTTATGTTTCGATAGCATTTTGCCAAGTGTGGCTGACTTCCAAAACGTCAATTGCTTTGCATACGTACAAGTATAACGTTCAATAACGCCGAACTAAAAAATGTTGACGATGTATACTTTTCCAAAACGCATCCGAAAATTTATCGAAACGCATCGCTAGCGCATCAGAAACAAAGTTGATGCTTCGTTTTTTATTGGTTACCATTGGTGTTTTAAAAATGGAAAATTCATAAAAATTGTTCATTGGTATATTGAGTATTTAAAATATGCAATGTATATGGTTACAATGTGTCGCAACTTTGCATATACAAACAGTTTGAATACCGCAGTATAACAGTTTCCAAACATTGTATTGATACGTTTTGGAAGCCAGCCTATATCTTTATATTATGTTAGCAACAAACATGAGGTCGCGAACGTACGAATAATAATGGAAGTCGCCTTTGGCTGCAAATTGAAAGATGCAAGAAACTGCGAAATGGAACGAGTATTCTAAAGCGATTAATTTTATATTAAAGTAGAATAAAGGTACTTCCTCCTAACTAATTGCGCGTTATAATATCTCTATTAGTTTTTTATTTATAAGTACCGGTGGCGAACGTACTGAACATGAAATGGTGTTATAAATTTGGTCCATGTTTGTAAGTACCAGAAGAACAAGATATAGGCCCACATAAATGTTTGGCAAAATCAGGGATGGTATCGCCAATGAAAATTCGGTATATCGGTATCGCGATATTCTAAATTCACAATATCCGTTACCGATATCTACTAAAATAATATCGATATATTGAATATCGGAAATATCGAAAACGAAATGGCTAACAAAGATATTTTTTGCGCACCTCGTATATTTGTAATTAAAAGACGAGTAAGCATAAATTCAAATAACGAAGTTACTTTGGATAAGATGCACTTTAATTGGGGTATCCACAACGGTGTCGTAAGTGTCGTATTGTTGTATGCCGCAAACTTTAAACGCCTAAAAAATAAATTAATGGGGTTTGGAAAGTATTATTAAAGTCATATTATGAATTGTTGTAGTGTTAAAAAATAGTTGGTTGTCGTTTCAAGATCTCTAAACATTTATTTAGGCTTTTAAAGTTTACGACAAACAAAAATACTACACTTACGACACCGTTGTGAATGCCTCAAATGAGTTTGAAAAAATAGTAACCAGAGTTCTGCAACTTCGATTTACCCCTCCTCACAAGCATGTCTAGTACTTTCAAAGAGACACACCTCTTCATACGTACATATGTATGTATTTCTAAATGTGAAGTACAATAGTACCGTTCAATGGGATTTCCAGATGACCTCAAAAAACATAATTTTTAAGTTTTTGTTCGGTATACAAAATTTCATGATCAATTGAATCTGCTAAAGCCTAAAATGCCATACAGCAGCTCTGATTTGTCTTGGCTAGCTAATATTATTTTTATGCAAGAAGTATTTTGCCTTTGCTGTAGATTTTCTTAAAGAAATAAATTTACGAGCATTTATTTATTGAGAATTGCAAACTGATTTAAGCAATTTTGATATTTTAATGAATTTTTTTCTTCATGGTTACTATGCCAAAACCTGTTTTGCGAGACCGAACACATTTTCCAACTATGTACTCAATTTTATTTTCAGTACAGAAGCCTAGAGAACGTGGAGAAAATTTTCCGATATTTCAAATATTGAAACAAAATATTGTATCGATATCGTATCGCAACACCTGATATCGATATAAATTAACCGATATGTTGAACAACGATATTGATATATTGAATATCGTATCGGTATCGCGCATCCCTAGGCAAAATGATCAGAACGTTGAGCTAATACCATGTTCTGACCGACAACGAAAACACCTTGAAAACGAGTTTTGGGATTGTGGGCTGAAGGCTGTTCACACCGACTGTTGGTGTTTTCGTTGACATTTGTTTCATCCTTTGTTTAAAGTTTTGCTACACAAAAACAAAACCAAAATACTTTTCCTTCAATTTCTTTTCATTAACAATCTCTTACTTCCATGCTTACTTTATTTTGGCCAGCCAATTAACAATAAATCCGAAATGACGTATTAAAGATGATAAAATATGACTTCCACTTCGATAAATAATCGAAAAAAACTAGTGCAGACACCGAATGGAATGAGTGGAACGTGAGTTTTCAAGTGGTTTTTAGCGAGAACTAGTTTTCGTTTGACAAATTTTACATGGACGAAAACACAAGTTTTAGGTCGAAAACCAGTTTTACCAACGAAAACATGTTTTCGATGTCGGTCAGAACATGGTATAAGTCGATTTAGCCAAAACCATCCGTCTGTCTGCTTGCCGATTGTCTTAATTCGTCCGCTGCCTCTAAAATCTACGTTTTGTAAGCTAATGTTTATATTTGTAAACTTAAAAAAAGCTTTCTCTAAGTTTATTTTGGTTGTTGGGTTATTTCTTAAAATTTTTTGGCAGTGCTTTATTTTATTTGACACATACACAAATAGAAATATCAAATATATCAATATAAGCTGTCATTAATCTTGCTAGGATAACTTGGCTTTTTAAGGGTCTTTTAAAGATTCTTGTCATTTTAAGGAAAAGTTTCCTGTTATTTCAAAAAAAAAAATAAAAATAAAAATATCAAACGGCTTTTGAGGCCTTTTGATCTACATAAATGTTAAGATTGCTTGAAATAGGTCGTCTATCCTATGGAAAATCGACGCATGCACGCCTTTTGTGCAAAGACTCTTACAAAAAACCACCAGATAGTCCACAATCCCAACCGAACGCTACTAAAACATCGGTGGGTGCAACGCCGTCTAAGGTCGCTTCCGTCATGAAGACAATTCAAATTTATCGCTGGCAGCCTGGAGAATCACCACGACTTCAAACATATCAGATAGACCTAAACAAATGTGGCATTATGGTCCTTGATGCTCTAATCAAAATAAAAAATGAAATGGATCAAACACTCACTTTTCGACGGTCTTGCAGAGAAGGAATTTGCGGTTCATGTTCCATGAACATTGGAGGCATCAATACACTAGCTTGCATATGCAAAATTAATCAAAATCCTTCCCGAGTTTTGAAAATTTACCCACTACCTCACATGTATGTTGTTCGGGATCTCGTTCCGGATTTGGGCCACTTCTATAATCAGTACAGCGCAATAAAGCCATGGCTACAACGTAAAAATCCTAAAGAACCAAAAGGAAAGGAACAGTATCTTCAGCATGCGGACGATCGCAAAAAACTGGACGGTTTATATGAATGCATTCTTTGCGCCTGCTGCACATCAGCATGCCCGTCATATTGGTGGAACGGTGATCGATATTTGGGACCAGCAGTATTAATGCAAGTGTACCGATGGGTTATAGATTCTCGAGATAATATGACCGAGGAACGCTTGAAGCAGATATGCGATCCCTACAGCATTTATCGGTGCTACAGCATATTAAATTGTACGAACACGTGTCCAAAAGGACTAAACCCTGGAGAAGCAATAATTAAATTGAAACAATTGTTAAGTGGTTTGAAAAACAAACCAAATCCATTGCTTGCAACGGACAAACTATTGAAGTAAACAACTTAAAAGCAATCATACTTGACCAAGAACTTTATCAAACGTAACAGTATTGGACTATGTTCATAACACATATTCATATGTATACAAACATAAATAAGTATGTAGAGTGTATTCGACCCACGATTGAAAGAATACAAACGTTGCGCCGATCTCGGACCGCTATTCCTCTCTTAACGAATTTGACAGACATTTTTTCTCCTTCCATTCTTGCTCACGTTTTGGCATTTCTCTCTCGCAATTGCACCAGTGTGACGTCACACAAAAATCCTCTCTGATCGGCGCAATCTTGTATTCTATCATTCTTGTATTCGAGCATCAATAACTACGTCACTGTTATTTTTTATGAGAGAGCATAACGGGTTACGAAAAAATTTAAGCGTTGTACGAACAAAATTTTGACAATCTGTTGGCTCATTACAAAATCAAATCCAGTATAAAAATTATATTGTGTGATTTCTGCAGAGTTTCAGCAACAAGGTTGCAATATTGCGGCAATTATTAGGAATATACCTCGACCACGCTCATACATTTTAACATACTTGCATTCGCATCTTTCTCAATTGATTTCTTCCCAGTGGGACATTCGAAAATACATTTTTTCCCCCAGGGCGATGCCCTAGAAAAGTGGGGCATTCAATTTTGCATTACCTAGTATCGAAAAATGAATGTGTTATAATATGAAATTTTTGGAACTTTTTGAATACATTAGAATGCTGATTACGTAGTTAGCACTAATATTATCGAGAACACATAAGAAATACATTCTATTGTTTATCACGCATGTAATGCATTACTACTTTTCCGACTGGGTTTTTAATACATGTATGTATGTATATCTTATCTTATTACAATAAACGAACAATTCTTGTATATATTCATAGGGTTCTCGGAAACGGTTCTACCGATTTTGATGAAATGTTGTACACAGATAATGGTTTGCATTTTAAGGTTATCTGAATAGGCATTAAAGCTGATGCCAGATAAAACTTTGTGGCTTTGCGTGACATTTATAACTTTGTTTTTACTCGTCAACATTGTTGTGGATTTTTTTTATTTTTCTAAAACATCGCAGTATGGATATAAAATGAAAGGTAATGTTAAGAACTTTGGTTAGAAAATATTTTCCATCAGGATTACCACGCTTCTATGTAATACAAATTTTTATTTTGTTAATTTCAATCAGCATTTTTTTATGTATACACAGTACATATACGCTCAATATATGTACCATTCATTCCAGCGTATTTCGGAATAGGGTTGCCACCTTTATTTTGGAGTAAGAAATTTACTTAATAGATATCGAAATCCAAATAGTTTTTTTTTCAAAATATTTTTTTAAAGCTATCCAAATTTTGAAAACTTTTAAAAGTATATGCACTTCGGTCAGAGCTCGGTTAACCATTAAATTATCACTGATTTTGGCGTTTCAATCAATGGCCAGCAATATTGTCTTAGAATAAGTATGTGAGAAATATTTAATAGGGGTATTCATCTAACGTTCCAAACTTCCGACAAATGTCGGCAGTTATCATGTTATATGAATACCTCTTATATAGGTATATTTAATACCATATATGGGCCATTTTCACAGTCATTAGTTAACTAATACGCTAGTGTTAAACCACCATTTTTAATTTCACAGTATCAGTTTGACTATTGGTTGAATGCAGTTAACTATGTAATGTGCATCCATTAGTTAATCAATAGTTAAAAACAGCTATTTTTCTAGTTGTTAACTAATGACTGCGAAAATGGCCCTATATATCGATTTTGTTAAAACTTTAGGTTTCGATATACATACATATGAGCCAAACAGTTATCGCTTATGTTAACTCTAACTGAGGGGCGGATTTGCAGTATCCCAGTGGGAAAAAGTAATGTATAGTAATCGAAAAAATAATGGGTAAAACAGCCGCTTTCACATTCGAAAATGCATTATTTTTCCCACGTCGATGTCCTAGAAAAAGTGGGGCATTCATTTTTGCACACGGGCTTGATGAGTGACGTCGAGAGAGGACTTTACAAAGTAGCACTTGTTGGCTAGAGTGATTCTGCGCTGGATTTCGATGCTGACATTATTATCGGTGTTAAAGGTTAAGTAAAAAATTGCCATTATTTCTTGTGTGTATCCAAGGAATTTTGGCATCTGATACGTCACAGCCTGTTGCTTCACTCTTTCCTCAAGAAATAAAGGAACGGGCATATATTTCTGTTGCAAACATGGGTTTCCTTGTACTCTTTTTTCACAAAAAACTTGAGAAAACCGTAGTAGAAATCGTAACAAATTTCTTAAGAATTGCGTACTGCCTCAAGAATATTTTACAGAAGAAAATTTCTTAGCCATTTCTTGTACGTCATTTTATATGGAGTTGTTGCTTTTCTTGAGAGCTGCGTACAGGCCTTAATGCTGGTTCCCAAGTAAACGCAATTCTCTACTTTCTCCAAATTATAAATGCGCTGACCCTTGTTTCATGACAGTGGATACTTCGTCTCGTTTACCACCAGACCCATTCGCTTTGCTTCCTTATCCAACTTGGAAAATGCAGAACAGACATCGTGGGGTTTGCTACCGATGATGTCGCTACGCCAGCAATTGCTCCTGAGCGTGTCAGTTCTGCGGCTCTTATTATCTTCTCCAACATCAGATTAAATAAATCTCATGAAAGAGAGTCACATTGTATGAAACCTCGTTTGGTATCAAACGGCTCGGAGAGGTCCAATTCTGACAGAGCTGGTGGTATTGCTCAACGTCAGTTTACACAGCGGTGTCAGTTTCGCGGGGATACCAAATTCAGACATCACGGCGTATAGTCAAATCCCTTCAGTGCTGTCGAATGCAGCTTTTGAAGTCGACAAATTGATGGTGTGTTTGGCGGTGGGGTGCAATAAGGTCATACGCAATAAAGCCATATGGCAATAAAGCCATATTTAAGGCGATAAAGCCATATGGCTTTATTTCCAATCAGAAAGAGAAATAAAGCCATACAAAAAATTTTGCAAATAAGAAATAAAGCCATATTCTGAAATGACACTCTCAAGGCGGTGTTAACGGCGAATCTGAATTTTATCTGAACATTACGTCCAAATGATGTGTTTGTTGTAATTCATTATTAAATTCGCCTTGGACACACTCTTGAAACTGATACTGAATTATTTAAATTTATACAAATTATTACTAATAAAATGAAATAAATCATTATTTAATATTTCCGGATTTATTGGATATTGAAAAATAAATATATGTACCCAGGTAAGTTTTAATTTTGCGAGTGCATAACCTGGCGGGTGCACATTTGTTGGCTCCCCGCACCGCGCCGCGTGTGAAGGGCGGAGCGCGGCGCGGCTGGACGCGAAGGAGAGTAATTGCATGTTTAAGGTGACGTTGTAGTTCAAGGCGGTTTAGTAGTTTTGTTGCGAACTTTTTCCATTGTTCAAATAAAAGAAACATAAAAATTTGAAAGCGAAATAAAGCCATATGGCTTAATTACCAATTGTAATTGGAAATAAAGCCATATCGAATTTATGGCCTCATTACCAAAAAAATATGGCTTTATTTCCAATATGGCTTTATTGCGTATGGCCTTATTGCACCCCACCAGCAAATGCCAGTTACGCGGTTTTGCAGAATGACGATACGCGGTTTTGTACTTTAAACGACGATATACATATTTGTGGTCATAAGCAATAACCGCTAAGTCGATTTAAGAAAGAATTGAGTTATATATTGTATCCTGCAACTACTATTCCATGTGTATGTGAAATCCCCATTTCGCAAGCTCAGCTATTTAAAAAGTTATAGACGAACATCCTTCGGTTTCTCCACAAGGTTAACATCACAATCCAAATGTATAAAATATTTTTTCTCGAATTCAGGTTTTTCGATTTATGACCGCAGATATATGTATATTTTTACAAGACGTTCATTTAAAAGGCGTTCGATAAATAGGTATGTATAGTAACAAATAAATAGTCAGTACAAATTTTTACTGGAAAAGAGTATAATAACCCAGAAAATTTGCAAGAGAGCACTGAATCGAGAGCGTAACAACACGGGGGAGCTGCAAATTCTTGCTAGTGAAATTTTTACTAGCAGAAATTAGCTAGCAGAAGAATAAGAAGAATAAATGTCAAAAGCCGCCATCTGTTGAATTGGTTTAGCACAAACAAAAGTAAAATGAATGGAAATCAAAATATTAATGATGTACTGTACTGTGTAAGCTAAGAGTTTAAAACTGATTTATGAATAGCAAAATGTTAACATTAGAATGTCAAAGCGGTGCAACAACTATGTATTCACTTGCAAGTTTTTACCAGTTTTGTGTTCATTAACTTTTTTTTGCAAATTTTCTGTTCTTCTCAATTTTACACTCTATTTTGCTTTTACGCTCTCGCTGCAATTTTTTACTGGAAAAGTTACTATACAAACCTAATGTATATTGGTTTTAAACACTCGTTGTTTTGTGAAAGCGTTTAAAGTTTTTTGTTGGTACATTTTTATTTCATTTGGTATATTTTTATCTGACGTTTGGTACAATTTCGAAAAATTTATTTATCTTCCCTGTGTGAAAAGGGTACGTTTTCGGCAATTTTTCTGATTCAATTTTTCGTTGACAAAACGTGGGGAACTACGCTTACACAAGCGGCTTGACAAACCAAGCGAAATATCCCTTTGCTGCAAGCCGTTTATGTTCTGTATGGGGTTTGACGAGCCGCTGAGGGCAATTTTAATAAAAATCAAAATTTTTTGATTTTCTGGTCGCCACACAGTGTAAGATTTGACCCATCAAGCTGTTTTTAATTCTGTAATTCGGAAACTATTGAAGATAGATTAATGAAAATTTGCACAAGGTACGTTATAAGATAGACGAAGCTTTAAAAAAAGTTCGTCATTTAGAGGTATGTACTGTGACGCCACCCTATATATAACTATAATTATTAAAAAGGCAAAAGCTGAAATATTTAACTGACTACAAAAGCAAAAATACCCAAAATTGATACATATTTAGAATTTCCCTATAACGAGGAATTATAATCTGACAGACGTAAAAATAATTTTCTTTTGGAATTATGGGCGTGGCAAATATCGAAAAAAATCAAGTTGGGTCAGCGAAATTCTGTTATAAGTTCAATATTTCTGACTCTATTTACAAATGTGGGGTACCATTGGAAAGGTAATGAATCGGTCGAGATCAAATGCATATTAATTTGCGAGGAAAAATTAAAATTCCTAGTAGGCCTGAAAAAGAAAATTTCATCAAAACCAGCACTTTCCAGCAGCGAAAGCTGTGTTGTTTAAACGTTAAGAGGAGTGACAAATAAACTGAGATACACACTTAATCGAATAATAACGGATAAAGAGTTTGCGGTTCTAATGAAATTAATAAATTGCTAAAAATTATTTTAAGTTAAGATCGTTTTACTTTAGTTTACTAAAATTCTAAAAATGATATTCATTAAAAAGAACAAATCTAAAAAAAATAAGATCAAAATTGTGGCTGACTTCCAAAACGTCAATTGCATTGCATACGTACAAAGTATAATATTCCATAACGTCGAACTACTATAAGTAATTAAATATATATATTCGCGAAACCATGGGCCAAATATAGTAAAATTTCGTTTTTTATTTTTCACTCTGACGTCAGTAATTCAAAAATTATTTAAAAAATTCAGAGAAATGTATGGGTATATAATTAATGAGGAAAGCCTGTAGAATTTAAACAGATTCAAGTTTCTGGTGCAGAAGGGCTGGTAAATATTGAAAATGTCATATTAAAATTTTATCCTTGAAATTTCGCAATATTTGTTTTTGAAAAAATTATGGCTCCTATTATGAGTTGCATTCGACCTTCGACTGTGGTCGAAAGTGCTGATCGAACGAATTTCCATTCAACCTCTAATTTAGGGGTTGATGGTATCCCAATAAAACACACCTTGTAGAAATAATTTTTGAAATTGTTTTCGTCTTCTACAAAAATACTTTAGAATGTTTTTCAGTGAATTTTCTGGGTTTTAGCCATTCACCCTTTATTTCAACCCCTAATTTAGGGGTTGATGGTATCCTAATAAGCTTTTCCTTATTCCATATTAAATTTACTACAATTTAAAAAAAAAGCGAAAGGACATCGATTTCTAGAATTTTCTGGTTTTCAGCAACTTACCCGTTATTTCAACCTCCAAATTAAGGGTTGACGATATCCCAATAAATTAATCCTTGCAGAAGTAATTATGGGAATCGTTTTCGCCACCTACGAAAACACTTTATAACGTTTTTCAGTGTATCGGGGTTTTTGGTTGAGTGTATTGGTGTATTTGGAATAAATTGTAATACAAATGAAAGAAATTGTAAAAGATAACAGCAAATCCAAGAAACAGGTGATCTCAGCTGTAGGCATTTTTTGGCAATCAGCTGATAGTGTTTTTACTTAGGAAGCTGTACGACGATCTACAGGGACTTCATCAGAACGCAACGCAATTCGAAAGCCATTTAATCAATATTTTCTGCCAAAGTGGACCACTAGTAAAACTTCAAGAGTTAGAATTAGTTCCAACCTGTACCTGTAACATGTAACATGTGAATTCTTTTTTTTGTTAAAAGGAGATAATAAATAAAAAATGTTTTTTACTAATAATACATATATGTATACGTACAGTAGTGGCCATATAATTAGGAACACTATTTCTTTGTGTGTTTTGAGCATTTATTTTTTCTTTATTTATTTTTAACGAAAATATAGCTTGTACTAGAACCAAGTAGACCAAAAAGTTGCAAATCTTGTACAAGATTTATTAACAATCGCCAACCTTAAAACGGACATGAAAATTTGAAACTTTTTAATCCGAATTTCTAGAAAAAGCTCGGGTATACGCCTTTATAGCCCATTCAATTTAGTATCATATTGTTCTAAGAATACGCGTTGATTTTTGGGATTTTAATTTGTTGGAGGTTTTGTAATTTTTTTCTGTAAAAAAAAAATCGAATACACTTTATATAGAAGAAAATGTGTAACACCGTCAGCAATTTAATCACATTTCAATGCGATCGTCTTCGAAACACTTAGATTTTTCAAGCGTGGCGGCGTATATTTCTAGTTGTGTCACACTTTAATTGATTTTAAGGACTTGAAAAAATTATAAATTTTGAGTACTTAGTGTTGTTAAAAATGTTAGGTTAATTCTGAGCTCGCGGTCTCTTGTGCCGGGGCCCTCTCGGATCGGGGGCCCGTGGCATTTCGCCAGCCCTGTCGCCCTATAGTCACGCCTCTGGCTCGAATCGTAACAGTCGTGAACGAGCAACTCGTTACGTAAGAATGCGTAAGTATCTCGGATTTTAACAGTCGTGAACATACTGATCGTCTCGCGATTCAGTATAAAAGTGTGTTTGCATTGTTCAATTTTGCGCTCAACATTTGCGTTCAACTCAGCGCAGGGTTGCACGGAAAAAATGTTTAATGGCTAAAAATATCAAAATATGAAAAATATATCAAAATATTCGCCATAAAAAAAGGTGTTTGCATTGTTCAAATGTGCATTCAACTTTTGGTTGAATGGTCGCCAGGCAACATTTAGCCAGTCAACTTTTTTTTCGTGCGACTCTGCGTTGAGTTGAACGCAAATGTTAAGCACTGCTTAAGAAACGATCAGTACGTTCACGACTGCTACGATTCGAGCCCTGGTTTTCGTTTGGCAGATTTGACATGGACGAAAACACAAGTTTTAGGTCGAAAACTAGTTTCAGCAACGAAAACATGTCGGTAAGAACATGGTATAAGCAAATTTATTATAAAAATCTTACCTATATATATATATATAATCTGGTGTTCCCACGGCACCCTGAATAACTTTTTTTCGTTCCCCAATTACGATCGCGAATTACCCCATTTCCTCGAGCTCATTCCGAATTCCGATGTGACAGTTCTCTGTCTGTGTGTTTTGTTTTTTTCATCGCAGCCAAATTGATGCAAAATGTAAGTTATCGCTAAGTTTCCGTATTAAATTGGTGATGTACACTTGTATAAACTTTACTTTTCGTACTCATAAAAAGTGTCAGCTTTGATTTGTGAACTGGTTTCGATAAATTTCCAATAAAATTTAGAGGCAGCAGCGATTTGTTCGTAATTTGCATGGTAATTGGATCTGAATTACTAACAAAAGAGGTAATTCGCTTTAAAAATTTTGTATGCGAATTACAAATGATTCATTCAGCTTCCAATATAAAAATAGGTTCCAAGGTGATATCGGATACCTACTTGCACATTTCAATAAATGTATTTAATGTGAAGCGAATCGGAGACATGACGGCATTCTTTTTAAGAAATCCGTCCGACTTAAAAAATAATGCCTCATATGCATTTTTCTCAGAAGGAGGACAACAATTTAAAGATAAATGAAGAGAAAAATCATGTCTGGGTATTAAAATATATAATTAAGTCACCTGAAAGAACAAGTGAATCGATTAATTACCAATAGGAATAAGACAGCACTTTTCCGATACGGCAAATTTGATGCAGTTCAACAGAGCTCCTTTAAACGGACCGAACTGCATCAAAATTGTCATATCGAAAATATGCTGACTTATTTTCTATGGCAATTAACCGAATCAAGTACAATAAAATATTATACTGATACATACATATTATGCACATATGTGCATACAAATACATATACTACATATGAAGGAGAAAAACGTAACAATAAACGACGCCGTAGAATATCAAATCTGAGCAGATGTTGCGTTCACGGTGCCGGTAGGCGGGATGCCAAAGGTTAAAACATAAACATATTATTCCTTTTTGTCATCGGAATCCTTGTACCAGTCTTCACATCCGGGCACGTTCTCTGGAGCATCACACATCTCGGTTTCCTCATTATAAACTTCACCCAGCTGACACGCAAGGTCACGGGGATCTTCGCCATTTAAACATACGTGGAATTTTTGACAATCTGTCGGATGGGGAAACTTCGGATGGGTAACTACTTGGCCCTTATCGTCATTTTTTGCACGGTCCTTGGGACACACGAAGCCAGTAGGCGATTTTTCTAAAAACAAATAGAAATAGTGTTAAACAAAATCATTAAATTTATTTACGTAGTTCGATATACTACATATGTACATATGTATAGTATGTAGATATGTACGTGTGTAAATATTTTTTTTTATATTATTAATATTCTTTTCTAAACTTGGAAAGACCGGAAAATGAACCCAAAGTTTATCATTGCTTTCGATACGCGACTGCTTCCAGTAAAACCTTTATATAAAAGAACTACCGGCATATATGGCATATGGCACATATGGAACTTGAATGATAAAAATCCTTTGTATTTTTAAACTTCCGTATACTTTTGAAGATTTCGAAAACGCTGTCGGCAAAAAAATAAAATAAAGCTTTGTGAATATTAAAAACTAGTTATCGTAGTACCTACTTACACACTAACGCAAGCGATGAATCGCATCTAGTATGTACAGATTTATGTATACATAACTGTACTATGTACATTTTGTCCCATTTTAGGGGACAACTAGTTTAGCAGTTTCCTATAACAGCTTCACACTACATAGCGTATAACAAGTAACGAACAGGATGGTACGACTCTCCAAAACTTTTGAATAGATATACTTTCAGAAAAATTGTTACAGAGTGGTATTTAAATGTACGTTTTAAACTTTTAATTATATGGTTTTGGCCAAAGCATGAAAAATATTTTTATAAAAAATAAAAAAATTTTACTTGAAAAACATTGGGAATATTTAAAAAAGAGAGCACCCTGAAATAATACATATGAAAAAACCGAAATAATGCATACGAAAAAAAAACGAAATAATGCATAAATGCAAAGTTTTACATATTACAACAACCGAAATTATGCATATGCACACTTTCGTTTGAAACCCGAAATAATACATATGAGAAAAACGAAGTAATGCATACATGCACAGTTTCGGTTCAAAACCGAAACAATGCATATCGTCGCCTGGGTAAAAGATTGTCGTATGTTACGCACGTATGTACGTATGATGCTTACGACAATCTTTTATCCAGGCGACGATATGACAAAAACCGAAATAGTGCATACATGAAAGCGAACTTCTTTCTGCGGGGCACCGAAATTGTGCATGTGGAAACTATGCATTTAGACATTATTTCTGTTTCAAACGAAACTGTGCATTTATGCATTACTTCGTTTTTCACATTTGCATTATTTAGGGTTTCTAACGAAAGTGTGCATATGGATAATTTCGTTTTTTCTAATATGAATTATGTTCTCCTGCTTAGTTAGGGTTATAATCCCTAAGCGCGGCTGAAGGCCTCCTACGCAGAAAGAAGTTCTGGACAAAAATTCTTCCACGCCTCTTTTCCGGCAACACAGAAATGAGAATTCTACTTCGTAAGGGTTATAATTTCTAAGCGCGGCCGTAGTCGGCATCGGCCCCGCTTAGGGATTATAACTCTTACTAAGTAGAATTTTCCTCCCTGTGTAGCCAGAAAAAGGGAGCGGAAGTATTTTTGCGTAGAACTTATTTTTGTGTAGGCGGCCTTCGGCCGCGCTTAGGCATAATATCCCTTACTAAGCTGAATTCTCCTTTCCGTGTTACCGGGAAAGGGGGTCGGAAGTGTTTTTGCGTAGACCTTCTTTTTGCGTTGGCGGACTTTGGTATCGCTTAGGGATTATAACTCTTTCTAAGTAGAATTCTCTTTTCTGTATTGCCGGAAAAAGGGGGCGGAAGTATTTTTGCGCAGAACTTCTTTCTGCGTAGGCGGCCTTCGGCCGCGCTTAGGGATGTTAACCCTCACTAAATAGAAGTACATAATTCATATTAGAAAAAAACAAAATTATCCATATGCATACTTTCGTTAGGAAACCGAAATAATGCATATGTGAAAAACGAAGTAATGCATAAATGCACAGTTTCGGTTGAAAACCGACATAATGTCTAAATGCACAGTTTCCATATGCGCGACTTCGGTTTATATAGGCTTTGTTGAGTTTTTCTTTAAGTTAATATATACGTATGTATGGTCTAATTTAGAATGGCGCTTTTAAAACTCCTTCTTTATTAAAATTCAGCGGTTTTCACCACTAAAGGTCACATATGAACATATTATAAAATAGGTAGTATTATTGTAAATTGGTTGTTTTATTCGTATCGTGGCCTTAAAAATAACGGCTAAAATGTAATCAAACATCTACTCGCCTTCAGGTCTTCCAATTCGTCTTTCGGACTTTAAATACCGTTTAAGATATGTATATAGTAGTAACCACAGAGAATACAAAATTGCCTTATGAAAAATTACAAAAGTTTACAGAAATAAAAAAAATTTTCCGACCTGCGGCATGTTTATATGAATTCTAAAACAAATATTCGGTTTTATTTAGCTTTACCAGTTTGGGTCAAATTTAGAAAATTATAAATATTGACCTCAAAATAGAAGAAATAATTTTCTTACGTCTTATTCCTATGCGGAAAGACAAAAATAGACGCATGTGTGAATACTTAGGAATATTTTTGATTTTTCACTTACTTTGTGGGGCTTCACAACCCTCGCGCTTAGCAGTATCCGGCCAAACGCACGTTCCACCAAATTCATCAAAGTGCAAGCCAACCGTACACTTCATTTCCAATGCATCCCCATCAATACAGTTGTAGAAAATATCACACACGGAAGAGTCAGGATGTGCGAAAAATCCGTTTTTTCTGGGACAAAATTTCGTAGATTTCGGTTCTTCTGCAATTTATCGATTTATTCAATACATAAATATAAGTAATAAAGAATACACATATTCATATACATATAAAAATAATATTTTCTTAGAAAAATGTATTACGCACGTATTTGACTGTTCACATGTGAGTATGTACGTTAGGGTGCTTTTTTTTTTTGCGACTATTTTTTTTTTTTCGGTCCCATCGTGAAATTTTGTTGGAAATACCAAAAAAAAAATTCCCTGAAAGTTTGAGCCCTTAATATTAATTTTAAGTACTCGCCCAAGGCGTGTGAAGATTTTCCATTTAAAATACACGGGAACTTTGATTTTTTTTTTAAATTTCTATAGCTCAGCGGCATTTAATGGTATCACCTAGTCCAAAATGGGGATTTTCTCAGCATTAAATGCTCTACAAAAGTGCCCACTGCGGCGAAGTCGTAACTCACACCGGCGAGGTAGTACGGGCCACTAAACCTGATTTTTTCATGAAATTTACGTTTTTTCGCATTTATCTCGTAAATGACAAGAGCTATAGAAAAAATGTAAATGAGAAACTTGTAGGA